TCTCACCAACAGATCATGGGATGACCGAGCATCGCCCAGGTTTGAAGCATATTAAATGCCATCACTTACCGTTCCAAGCCTACGTCCTTGGCATTACTGCACACACGCTGACAGCTTGCAATGCCCATTTTTATTTAAATGACTCAAGGACCAACTTATCAGAAGGGAGGGCAGGTTGAGCCGCCCGAGGACTCTTAACCGAAGATGAACGTTGCCGTCCTCAGCAAGACTAGATCCTTGGATGATACACGACCAAAGAAAGTCGAAGAAAATTGCCGGTTTCTGATAGATCGGCTGTAAAAAAAACATAACGATGTGACGCAGCAGTCGCCTTCATTAGGAAGAACCCTGTGAAGAAGTCTGTTGTCTTTCAGAGTGGGACCGAGTACCGGCCCATTGAACTAGAACTACCGCTCTCTGGGAGGAAGTTAATCAGTTACCAAAAACTACGCCTTAATGATGGCCAGTCAGGAGGATCTGAACGATATTGTCTACGAGGAACTGAACTCCACCATTGTATCTGTGTCAAAGTCAAATAACATACTCGCTTTTACAGAGTTTAGTGCGCTGGTAGGCGTAGAGCTTATCTCCTGAAGAAGATTGAGTAATTCTCCCTGAACAGGCAGCGACAACAGCAATGGGCTTGCTGCGTAGAAAGACGTATGTTAAAATCGGTAGCAGCACGACAAACTCCGTCTTTTGGCCTACACGACAGTTCTACCGTCACGAAAGACAACGTCAGCCGTGTGTCGCACGGAGTGGATCACACTGCCCAGAATCCATCGAGCCTGACTTCCATTCCAGAGAACAACCGAGTTATCCCGCCGTTTAGCAGTACATTCAAGTGAAACGTTTGGCACGTCTCGATAGATTGAAGTGCGGAAGATGTATTATAGTGAGGAATTTGTCGATGGGCCGTGAGACTGGAGCAGACAGCTTCGGCTCCACTAACTCCTCTCTCTCCCCCGTGGATCAACTGGATGTCTGGACCTGTCAACTGGCTGGCGATTTGATTGGGCGCCGTGTCCGGTGCGACGTGAATATCTGCGTCTAAGTTTGCCACCATACTCGTCCCCGTGTACGGCAGGGGTCATGGGCTCGTGCGGACTCTGCACAGCCCGACCGATGCGTGCAGTTAGTCAGTCTGACCCTCGTTTGGTCTTGCGCGTTGGTCGCCCAATCCATTGCGGAACCACTTTTTGCCTACTCGACGGTTCGACCCTCCTTATCGACGATACTGACCGTATGCCCCACAGCAGGGCGGGCAGATGGACGTTGAATTGCGCGTGAACCGATTTATAGTGACCGTAGACTTGTACAGTATCTGCTATAACCCTCCTCAAACGCCTAGGCCCGATGTTAAAATAGTCAAAAGAAAACTGGATGCGGGATCGGCTAGCACGACGTGAACCCGCGCCTAGACGCTCCATCACACCCAGGGACCACGGATAAAGAACCGGGATTTAACACAGTAAGAAGGGAGGGGAGGTATGGATCCCAGTTGAATGCTAGAGCCATAAAGGTCAAATTAAGGCGGAGCCATTGAGCCTCACTCTCAGTCCACCAGTAGGCCACTCCACACAAACACACTGGGCTGGCTGCGAGGTCTGAGTTTGCTTTTCAGTTGGTAGGCTTCCTAGCCGGCGTTTAGGATATAGTAGTTTATAATCAGGACAATATCCTGAGAGTTAACTTCTTGCACTTTCCTCTCTACCGTGCACCAGTCGATTGTCTGAGCTGGTCAACCAAATGATGCTGATATTGGAAACCGTGGCTAACAGAGAAAGAGACAGGTCGCGTACGCCTCCCGCACGCACGACCAGGTAGACAGATCGGAGCTCACAGGTGTTTGAGTAGCAGAAGGGCATCATGGAGAAGGAGCAAAAGAGCACGATTCCCATTTGCGTGTGAGTTGCCGATTCATGGCCTGTGGTACGTGCGGGGTTGGTATGTACTGGTGAGGAGGTATAGGGTGATGAGATGTTTCGGACGGTGTTTTACCGCAGGCTTGATGGATGAGCGTATGGCCGGGAAAGTCCATACGGTCTCCGAGTGTGCGTGGGCAGTTCGGGCAAGTGCGACGGGTCGACGGCGGTGCTCCAAACACTGGTTCACCAGTCTCCGTACCATTGGTTGGCAAGCGACCGACCAGACAGATGCGCGACGTGCATGTGCGAAGATGAGTTCGGAGCTGCTGCGTCGGTTGCAGTGGTGATGCCGCTAGTCTTGACCGCGCTGACAGACAGGGGTTCGTAGTGCTGGAAATGGAAGAGATGACGCGTGTGCAATGTCTGCAAGCCGATTGGAATTACACCGAATTACGCTGTCTAAGGGGTTCGTGTAACCGCATATGCCCATACGGTGAGTGTGTATGCGCGGGCAGTGGAGGCGGTCCCACTGCGATGAATTCGCAAGTGGCCGACGAGGCCGATGCCTGGGGTAAATGTGCGATCGCGATGAGAACAGGTATGGACCGAGTCTACATCGCTGGTGGTGGGGGTGGTGATGGCGAGGGTAGGCGGTGACGAACCGGCGGGAGCTTTATAGTCGGTGACAGGAGTGGGAGAGGAGATGGTCGTCGTCGCCGCGCAGGATGTCGGAGGGGTGATGGTAATGCCGATGAATGACGGCGGCGAGGAACTGGGATTGCAATGTTCATTGGTTATGCTGATTGTCGTTGTGGACGCCGTCGGGGTTAGAGCAGGGTGTTTGGGAAAGCAACAGCTAGGATTGTGGGAATATTGGTGTGTTGGACACAGAGAGGCTCAACGAGGCTGATCAACTTGCAAAATGTTCATTGTCAGTACAAACATTTTGACAGGATAAGGGATACCTGAGACTTGTAAGCCTCTCTCCTAGCATCGGTAGTAACTATTCGGTTGACTTCAGAGGTTGCTGCTCCTGTCTCCCCTGTTTTTTTCCAGGACGGTCGGGCCACGTCTTCTTGTTGAACTGTTATATCTTCAACGAATTCTCCAAGGTGTTTTGTAGCGGGGGGTTGAACCTCTTGTCGGCGAGTACCCGTATCAAAATGTACATGGAAGAGTCGTTCAGGTAGGCGCTCATCGTCCATCCCCAAAAGGTTGCCATTTGATCGTAGTTGCAGTTGCCTCAGCATAGCGTGAATGCCGAAGATCCCAGTCCGTTCAAAAACCCCCCGTGGCGGGACCCTGTTCTGCGACCTCAGCTTAAGTATTCACCGAAACAACTGGGGTGGAAATGACTGAGTCGCCGTGCTTATTTCATATAGACCGTCTAGGTCCCTGCACCATACAGCAGCGTCGTCAAGATGACAGCTTTGTACATCTTAAGCCTGCTGTTGAAGGGGAGAACATGATGATTCCATAAAGAGTTCTGCAACCACTCGAAAGTCTGACTGGCTTTGGAGAGCTGACGAGCCCAGTCATCGACAACGTTAATGCTGCGGTAGAGAGTGCCGCATAGATATGCGAAGTTGTCTCCGCTTTTCACTGGGGTCCTGCTGACGTTGATCGGAGGAACATTGTATACAGCGTCGGTTGATGCGTGACCACCGTTTTGTCCGTGTTGATGGTAAGCCCGGATTGGGCGCAGCGGTGGCCGAAGAGTTCCATACTCCACTGCTTGACTGCTTTTGTTGCGGTGTTGGGCGCGCAGTCGTCCGTGAAGAGCAGATCATGCACAGTAGTTAGGGAGAGGTGAATCGGGACCTGCATGCACCGATAGCTGAGAAGTTGGCCATTGGTCTAGTAGGCGATGCGGATCCCATTACGATCATCACGATAAGCGTCCATCAGCATGGCATGAGACTAAAAATAGTTGAGGGCGAGTACACAGCACTGTTTCACTCCTTTTGGCACAGCTAATGCTCCTGAGACTGTCCTAATGTCAAGGTCGGGCGCCATCATCCAGTCGTACCATGTGTGTGAATTGCTCAGGACATCCGAATTTCTGCATGGTTTCCCCGAATCCATCGCGATTCATTATGTCCAGGGTTTTCACCGGATTCACAAAGGTAATGCAGAAGTGGGTCCGCATTTTCTGGCATTTCTTATGCAGCTGGCGAGCGGCGAAGACCCTTCCGATGATTCCGCGGTGGCGTCGAAAATGACAACGGCTTTCTGGGAGATGGCCCCCCTCGAGATGGCCGGCTCTGACTGTTTATGGAAGGGAAGACGTGAAGTCCAGGTCGTTGTTCGTTTCGAGTGAAGAAAGTCGGTCAATAGCGGCGTCGAAGGTCGCTGATGGACGGTTGAGGGCACTTATGTAGCCCTCGACTTAATGTTTCAGCATTTTTGACTTCTCTGTCAGGAGTGTTAGTTCATCGGATCTGAGAAGCGGAACGATTCCTTTGGCTGCGCGGCCGTAAATCATCTTGATCGAGGCGAACTTATTCGGTTAATTGCGGTGACCATTCACTTGCATTTCCTCAATCCTGCACATCACCCAGGCGTCCTACGCCTCCCGCAGTCGTTGTTGCAGAAGGCGGCGACATGGGAAGAAGAAGGATGCATTGTTTGCATCGGTCCAGGGATCAATGTAGGCCTTGTGCAGGCTGTTATTTTCGGTGAGTTTATTGCTGATTTTTGCGTCGTTGTCGTCGAGCCAGTCCTTATGCTGGTGAAGTGCGCGTACGAGGACATACAGGTCGGCGGATTGGATGATGTTCCTCAATTGATACCACTAGGTCTCCACAATGGTGTTACCGACCAAGACCGGCAGTTCTCCCAGGTGTTGGGCTAACTGGTCGCTGAAATTTAAGCAGTGAACAGAGCAGTATTTAACTTGCCTAGCGGTCGCTTACCTTCTTGTTGTCTCCTGTGAGGTTGCAGGCGGACTCTTGTCATGGGGGTGAAGAGCCGGTGATCCTGCCAGCCGCCAGCGTCACAGGTCGTCTTCGTTACCAGCATGCCCTTTTAATCTTGCCACTGGATGAGAACGTGGTCCGGCAGCTGCCAACGTCGCGATCTAGGGCTGCATCCAGATTGTCTCCACTCGTGTCGAAATACGGAAGAAAGTGTTCATGAGGAGGCGAGACGGTGTTCTGCGCAGGTTCGCAGAAGGAGGAGACTTGTGTCATTATAGCCAACGATTCTATGCGGATCCAGCTCTCTCTGTCCCTTCCCTCCCCCAGCCAGTTTGTTTGTCCCGACGCAGGCGTTGAATTCACCGGGGAAAACCACCTTTTCCACTTTCGGTACAGTCGCCAGGAGGACGCGCAGGTCCTCGTAGAATTTATTATTCAACTCGTCGGGGCTGGCCATTGGGGAAGCGTAGACACTGATGATGGTGGCGAATCGAGCAGCCGAAGAGACAGACGTAGACTCGTTGGTGTCATGAAAAATTCTGTACGAATCAGTCATGTGAGGGCGTTAGTTGCCACACAGGTAGGGGAATTATTTCTTACATGGTACCATAATTTGGGCTCATCATGACAATGATTTTCTTTGGGAGTTCGCCAAACAGAATGTATAACTCCTATCTACTGCTGTCGCATTAAACTCTTGGCTTCCGTTTTTCGTTTTCTTTCATTCACTCAAGAGGGGTTATGCCAATTTTTGGCCAGTTTTATCTTAGACACTCAGACCTTGAGGTTCAGACGGGCGAGCACGTTCCGTAACCTGACCAGCGCACACCTATGCTGTGGTGGTGACAATAATTCCCCCAAGTCCTCGATTCGGCGCTATTTTCTGATTTCGTTGCGCTCTGACTAAGTGCTCGGCTGTAGTAATAAAAACGTCAGTTTACTTTAATTAGGACCTGTGGTGCACGAGCTTTTAACTTTACCTATCTAGCAGGCCTTCCAGAAGGACCTAAACGATAAGAATTCCTGTTGCCCTGATCTGGAGGTGTAAATGCTGTTAGGCAGTCATTGACCGCACCCCCAGGTAAAAGTTGTTGGATAAGTATATCTAAGAGGAAGGGGGCTAGACTGGGTTTAAGACAAATGCCAGGAGAGCAGAAGGGTAGTGACAAAAAGAGAACGAGAGAGGGAAAA